TTGCATGTAATGGGAAATTCTCCTTAAAAGCTACAACATAGATATATATTTCTTCCATCGTGGGCACCATCATTAAACTTTCTTAACTAATACTGTAATTAGACTTTAAATAAGCAGATAACTCTCCCATGGCATCTGCTATAGTAGATACAGTATTAAATGTTTCCTTAGCGGAAATTCAGAAGTGACTCAATCATGTTTAAGCAATTGGTTTCAAATACCTGAAATTATGTAACTTATGTTAGATGTGAAAACATTTCCCTATGTGAATGACCTTTGGATTAAGGCAAATGACCTCAAATTGTCTTAGAGACTTGAAGAGGGATAAAACAAAGAGAAATTGTATATTTCTAACACTAATGCCTTCTCAATGAATTATCTTATTTCTCTTATGTAACGTAGGAAATATCACTATGGGCAATGCCTATGGAAAAGGGAAAGAATAGGATATTCTGAATTTGAAACACAAATTTCTGTCTACTGATTTTAAATTGTTACATAAATGAGACATGAACATAATTTTATCCTAAATTTTATGTTTTTAAACCTCTTAGAACCCAGAAGCTTACTATATATAAAAGGTGAAACAGAATTCTTTGATCTCTGGCATTGTTGTTCCCATGTGAGACAAAGAAAGAAACGGCATCCTAGGATTTCTGAAGTGTAGTAAGAGGCAGGTGGCATTATGTCAGAACTAGGCATATATAAAGTATATAATAGAATGAAGGGAGAAAGACTAGTATGTGCAAATGCTGTTATGAAGAGGAATTCTCTAAATTCTTTTTGTTGGTGGCCAAGGTCCAACATTTACACTTCTGCAACTGCGTATGATTTGTTGAAATTTGTAAATGAGTTCCAACTACCCTTTTTAGCTACACACCTATAAAGCCACAGTGTGGGTTAGAGGGAAGCACGAGTTCATCCAGAGAAGTTTTCAAAGTTTCTCTTGCAGACAGTCATTTCATGGTATCATACAGCCATTTGCACTTTTGAAATCAGCTTGACTGACAGCAACAGAAACTCTGGCTGTGTGGGTGCTTGTCCTTCTACCTGTTGTGTGGCTATCTAGGGGTGTGGCCTTCTAACATAGCTCCATTTTCTGTGCTGTGAAGTTAACAAGCTACGGTACAGCATGGGTATGTCAAGAAAAACAATTTTTTTAAAAAATTAATTTTCCCTCCATCGTTTCATATGTTTTATCTGTGCATGATAAAGAAGAGCTGCCACGCTTGCAAAATGATTCAAAATTGCTTCAAATAATTTTGCTTTTTTGTACCTAATCAGAATTGATGTGACTGAAGTGCAAGTCTTCATAATAATCATGCATTTACTGGCAGTGATCGGAGGACCAACTTTTTGGCAAACAATGGTAATTCTGTTCATCTTGTATATGCCATGTAACCTTTTTTTAAATCTACTATTTGAAGAAAACATCATGCTATATAAACAATACATCTTTTTATGTATTCTCAAAAGCTTTCACAGCCAGGATCTGATGGTTGTTGTGGATTTTTTGGGCTCTTTGGATGTGTTTTGAAGGTTGTTCTAACTCTGGAGCACAGACAGAGTTCTGACTCCTGTCCTCTGAAGATGGCGAAATGTTAGGAAGAACAACCTTCAGAACATGACCAAAGAGCCCGAAAAACCCATAACAACCATCAATACATCTTTTGTTTTTGTTTTCATTTTTAATCTCTTTTATCATTTTCCAGTGGAGTAAGTATCTGTGTATTGTATTAAATTATATTTTGACCACAGAGAACTGATGCATTCTTTTGTCTGTTTTGCTAACATTCTGACAGTGGAAACCCAATGCCTGTTCCATAAGAAATAAATTTTCCTGCCAGTTGAATGAAGCACTAATATGTTGATGCATATAATAGAACAAACCTGTAGAATTGTTATTAGGGTAATGATTTGCCTTTGGGTACCTTTTCCTTAAGCGGGTTCAAGGCATCTTACAATTGAAATGTAGTTGCATTTGTAGCCATCCTTGGATCTTGAACTGTAAATACCACTCAAATTGTTGTTTTAAAATGTCTAGCAGTATTTGATCAGCAACACTAATCAAAGATGATTAGACTGCCTTAGATGCTTGAGCATGCTGTGTATGTCTACTAAAACATAACATTTCTGTCCGCAATATGGCAGCTATATGTGTCTTGTCTTGTAGATCACCCTTAAAACAAATGCTAATTTTCTGCAACAGCTACTTTTGCTACTATTTGATCATTAGATGAAGTTTGCAAATATTCTCTTAACATGGGTTTCATTTAAAAGCAAATGTTGGAACAGTAAAATACTAGTTTGTGAATTTAAAAATAAACGTAAGCTTTCTTTGGAGTATAAAATACATTGAAGTATGTTGAAGTCTACTTGGAAAATAATATGGGTGTCTGTTTAAACATTTTTTGTTTATTTCAGTTATCTCCTATTCCTTCCTCCTCCAATAATCATGGGTCGCTTTTACAGAGAAAAATATACAGTAACATGTGTACTCAAACATTCCACTTTTCTGTCTGAGGGCCTCTCTGTACCACATCAGGTTTTGTGTGATATTCTCACAAGTCTCTTTACAATGACTTTGGTGCAATATGCTGCCCACAGATAATGGAGAGGAAGTAAATACGTTGAAGAGAGGGAGAATAGCTATTGCTTCCCATGCCTTCTCTTAACCTTGCTAGATGTGTTACTTGCCACAGCAGATGGAAAATGCACAGCCTCCATGGAATAAATGGATGGATATTTACCAGATATTTACCAGATGATAGACAAGAACTGCATGTCACAGTTCTTTTTAAAATAAATGGATGAATGAATGTGTGCACATGCTTGAACTACACAGTGATGGTGTATTGAAGTTTAGAGAGGTAAACAGGAGTTTAGTTAAGTGTTGTGAGAATGGGAGAACTGGCCTTGATCTTTGCTCAGTAGCTCAAGAGGAAACCTATGAAATTTATTTATTTATTTATTTATTTATTTATTTATTTATTTATTTATTTATATGCCACCCACTCTACCCAGAGGTAGAATGCATGTAAATGTCAAGGAGAAAATTATATAAATTTAAATTTATTATCTAAATTTATTTAGACAAGTATTATCTGAGATACAATCCTATATATGTAGAGGCAGAAACAATTTCCACTGTATTCAGTGGATCTTATTCCCAGACAGAGGGATCACCACCTGAATTATAATGGGCTGAGATGGTTTTGCAATCTAAATTTAATGGGTTAGTTCCAGAGTTAGTTATATTGAAATCAGTGCACTTGTTAGTCGTGATTAACCTAGTTTACTCTACATATGATTAAATCTGTGACCAAACAAATACATGCTGCCTGAAATCCTGTTAATTCACATAGCAGTTGTAGTTGAGTAAGCCCACTGAATCAGTGGGGATGTGGTGAGTCAACTTCTCTGTATGTTCCCTTGATTTAAGTGGGCTTACTCTAGCATCTTACTGTAGAAAGTTGCAGCTTGAGTAGACCCATTAGAATTAAAAGGACTTTATGGAGGAATTGACTCACCAAATCCACAGTGATTTAATGGGATTATTCTTGTGCACCTTAGTACGCTGAGCAACAGGATTTCTGCACCTCTGTTCTATATGGAAGGACTATAGTCCTGGTTGAAACATCACTGTTGTTCCAGTGTTTATGCAGATCTTGTTACTTTCAGAGGGAGAGGTTCTAGCCAGAGCTAGGATTCTTGCTTGGTAAGTAGCTGTGTGTGCATGCCCGTGTGTGCGCGCATCCCTCTGTGTGTGTGCGTGCGCGCGCGCCTGTGAGAGAGAATTAATGAGATTATATTTGAGGTTTTTATGTGTGATAAGACTGGTTTTATATCATATGCACTGTAAATCAGAGCCAGTACTGATGTTCTTTCATGATGAAATTCTGTACATTGGTGAGTACAGTAGTTTGATATTTTTCAACTCTTGAGTTCACGTTTGAGGGAGAAAATTCTAGAATAATATTGTAGAATAAGTACAATATGTCTACCAAATGCTTTAGTGCTGGACAGGATTTTTCAAATTGCTAATTATATACAATACAGTTTTGAATACTGGTTGTTCAGAAAATTCCTTCTTCACTTGTGATGTAGAATTAACTGCCACAATAGACTACCATGACCCTAAGGGAAGTGGTTTTAATAGCTGTGGATGCATTTATAGAAAACAGCAGTAGCAGTCTGTTGTGCTTTAGATTTCATATGTCCTTGATTATCAGATACGATTATGAGAAAAACAAGGATTAATAACACTCCATGATTTGTCTTATTTGCAAAAGAGCATCTTTTTGATCATTGCCTAAGGCCAAGGATGTACAGTTTGTGACACTCCAGATACGGCTTGGCCACGGCTTCCATCATCTCTCATTGCTGGCTGTGCTGGTAGGGCTGATGGGAGTTGCAGTCATTACATCAGGAGCTCTTCTCTGGTTTAGATTTTAAAATCTAGAGGACTGCAATTGGACTATATTTGGACTTAGCATTTTAATCCCATATTCAATTTTACTTTGTATTATCCCCCACACACCCACACCCCTTTCTAAGCTCTTAGCACCCAGTCTGGGAATATACCTAAACCCCGTCCCTCTCTCCCTCACATTGCTGATTTCCAAGTATGTAGTTCTTTTCCCTGGACAACACCCCTCCACATTTTATTATTTCTGATCTGATCTCTAGGACTTATAATTGAATCTTGAGGGTCGTGTTTTCTGACTAATCCATTATGGGAATCTATATATTCTCCCTTGTGCTTCCTTCCATTTGATGCTGTGTCCTCCCTAGGAAATTATGTCTTCATGGTACCTCATTTCTGTCACCGTGATTACAGGTCTTTAGTTTTCTGAAAGGTGCATATAACTGAAGAGAGGCTCTTCCCCCCTTTTGTATTTAGGCATAGATTTAGAAAAGTGGAATGTTTGCGAGTATTTGAAATCTGGAAAAATTATTAAAGATCAACTGTTTTAACATATTTTTCCTCTCCTGTTAAGATTCCAGTGGTAAACATCCCAGTGAAAATACTACCAGCTCTTTGTACTGTAGCAGGAACCATATTCTCATGTACAAACTACTTTGGTGTGATCTTCACAGGTGGTGTCGGCAAAAATGGATCAACTATAGCAGTAAGTCTCTCCTTGTCCCTTGTCCTAAGTCTTTCCCTTCACTTTTGAGTAATTCCTCCTTTTTCAGGCCAGGTTTTAAACTGTTGTCATGTTTTAAGTGGCTTCACTTCATTGGTAAGGATTTTCTACTTTATTTCAGGCATGAAGAAAAAATATAGTATCTGAATGAAACTCGCAAAACTCTGGAAATTAGAAAAGGATCGTATATAGGAAAAGATCTCCGGAACAGTATTTTCCTATATTGGTTCCATATAATTTTTGCTTTGGTCATTTCAGATTACATTTGTAGATTTCATACGGTAACATGTATTCTGTTCTGGAGAGACAAGAAAAGAGCCCTCTCTGTATTCTTCCATTCTGCATTTGACTACAGTTAACGAAGGGCTTCCAGAAATTAAGCAAAGCCACTGGGTGGATTTTACGTTTTGCAATACTGCAGTTGACTTTCTCATAGGTAGCAATAGTGTTGCTTTTGTTCAACAATGCAATATTGGGATACATACACAAAGGTGTGGGCCACAAGTGTGTATACTATGTATACCTGTTATACAGGTCTTTTTGAGGTCTTGGCAACAGGAGTCTTTCTTCAAACTGTTCTTGGCTGTAACTGCAGGTAGGCTGTGCGTACTGATCACAATGCCAGCTTTTGTCTCCAATACTCAACTGCTCTATGTACTTTCTCACTGCCAGTTTTATGACTTTCAGCAGTTACAGTTAAAATTAACAAAAGGATTGTCAGTGCTCCATTTGATCTAGGCATACCATGTAGCCACTTATACTTCAATTCACCTTCTCTGTAAATTAACAATAACTTAAATCACTGTAGGGAACAAGTGTCCTTTCACCATTTCTTCACATTGGATCAGTCATCACACTAGCTGCCATGATCTACAAGAAATCTGCTGTGCAACTCTTTGAAAAACATCCTTGCCTCTACATACTGACATTTGGATTCGTTTCTGCTAAAATAACAAACAAACTAGTGGTAAGTGCTTTATAGTTCCTATTTGCTTATGTTATACACTGGTGATAAAGCTTTGCTCCTTCTGTTTTTCCACACTTTCCCCAAATACTCCACATGTAAAAGATGTTCCAAGGTGTACATAATGATAATTCTCACTTGCCTTCAACAAGGGTTGACCAGAAGTTAATAAGCCATTGTCTTTTAGAAAATTATTCAATACAAATACTGAATCAGAATCATCTTCTGGATTATTATTTGTTTTTTTTTTCATATAGGTTGCACATATGACCAAAAGTGAGATGCATCTGCATGACACAGCATTCATAGGCCCAGCACTCTTGTTCCTTGACCAATATTTTAATAGCTTTATTGATGAGTATATTGTACTTTGGATTGCCATGGTAAGTATTTCCTTAGTTCTCTGAGCATGTAAAATGTCACTGTGCATTCTTTCAGATACATGTGTATACTTCATTTTGCAACAGCTAGTTTTAGGCAAAGTGGAGAGACCAGTCAAAATACCTAGCTGGTTTCCACACACTGGGGCCATTCACATTTCAAGCCTATAAGGAACACATACACCTATGTGTCATCTGTTACTTCCGTGAGGTGCATAATGTTTAGTATGTACAATCTCATAGGGCCCTGATCCATGTGGGTGTATCTGTGCTTCTGTACACTGAAAGCTGTAAATCATAAAAACTGTTTTAAAATAAAAATTTTATATTGCTTAGAATAATATTCTAGTTTATACGAGTCAAGGTTCCTTACAAAATCTGAGAAACTCTTGGATGTTCAATATTGTGAGAGGACACCAATGTTTGTTCACGTGTTTTTAACCCTATAGCAATGTTAAGCCTTAATTATGAAACACAACAGCCCCATTAGTGCTTATCTACCATTTTAATAAGCCATTTTATCTAGGCAGATATACTATTAATGCAGGTAGTGAAAAAGACTAGTTAGTTACTCAGTTATGTTTGATTCACCTCATGCTTTTAAGGATATGGCTGGCAATTAGGCAAAGGCATAATCAACATTAATCACCTAAATATTTGACTATCAGTGAAGCATATTTAAATGTGCTTTTATTCACCATTGTATTACATTTATAAGGACCTTTTGATCTATTTTTGTGTAGAAATACTTAAGACTCTTAATAAGTCATCACACAGTCTGCTGTCATTGTTTCTTGAATCCTACATGTACGCACACATGCGCGCATGCACAGATTGTTACATATCCTTTCCTGGAAGGACCCAGTTTTCCCCTTTCATCCCCGTTATCTTGGGGGGAGAGAGAGATAAGTTGTACTGAGAAAAAGTGACTGGCTAAAGATAAGATTTATGAATGAGCAGGAGGTTGAACCTAGTTTTCCAGGGTCCAAGTCCAATAACCCTCCTTCCTTTTACTGCATTGGTTTCTATGCCCACTCTTGTGTTCGTGACTGAAAAAGGATTGGTGGCCTGACGATAGGAAAAAGAGTTTAGTTACAAGAAGACAATTATGCTTTATTTTAAAGTAGGAGTGGATAACTAGGGCTTTATGTTGTTGTGCTGCTGTTCCTAACATTTTTCACCGTTGGCTAGGCTTAGAGCCAATGGAACATGTAATCTAGAAACATTTGGAAAACCACAGATGATTTAAAGGATCATCTGGTTTATAGGAGGAGAAAGATCCTAATGCATCAAGAAAATTCTGAATTTGCACAAAAAAATTCAGGGTTCGATTTTTTTATAGCAAATAAAGTTTTATGTCTTCATGAAACTATATTCTCTTTTCAGATCTTTTCTCTTTTTGACTTGCTCCGATACTGTGTCAGTGTATGCAATCAAATTGCTTCCCACCTTCACATCCACGTCTTCAGGATCAAGACCTATTCCACATACTCTAATCATCACTAGATAACCTGGCTGTTGTCGCAATAAGAACCGTTTTCTACTGGAGAGGATATAGACATACTGAGGAGACTATGGAAACTGGAGCAGATAGGAACAAATCTAATTTATAATAATGTTGTATTACTTTTACTGTTTGTTACTGATGACACTCCTTAGCTAGCCTCCTCGAATGAAAGGGGAATCCTAAGCACTCTCCAGACAAACATGCAGATTGTTCACGCCACTGGTGATGTGCCCAGGAAAGCATGCAGAGAGTATAAAGCTTTGTCTTTGTAATTCCCTTGGCCACAGAATAAACTCTTGGGTAAATGGATTCCCAACAACAGGAGCTTCTAACATGGTGTAATTACAAGCTGTAAGACAATTTACATTCTAATTTTAACAAATCATCTCTTAGTAAAATACTCATTTAATACCCAGTCAAAAATAATTACTAGAATGTTGAGCTTGTGTGACACACAGATATTCCACTAGCTTTAGTGGCTGGCATGTCTTGGACTTTTGAGTCAATTTTGATCTCATTATTCACCTGTTGCTGATAACTTAAGGTAGATTTTAAGAGGCCAAAGTGACATCTCACGTTTCTCCCAGTGTATCTGGAAGCTGGGCATCTCAAAGTGCCATCTTTGGTAGCAGTCCACTCTGGCTGGGTGGCCTTTGTTTATTCCAATTGACTGGTGTGTGTCGGCTGAAGGCAAGTTGCTCGGCCACTGTGCTTGATGAACTGCACCTTTTCTCTTTAAAGCTGTTCTCCCAGTACCTTGTGTCATGGCTGGGAAGGGGGTGATTGTCAGCATGCAGTAAAGTGTGGTATCTGTCCGTTTATTTTATTTTTTAAAATAAACATATAAAGAGGTTATTTCTCAATCTTCTTCAGTGGGAAGTCTAAAAATTACTTTTTTGTATAAAATTTATGCAAAAATTATTTCTGCTCTTTAATAAATAAGAAAATTCTCATAACTGCCTCTTTTTTAATTTACTATTTTGAGCCATTCTTCAAAAATTAATTAACATTTGATAAGTTGTATTCTTGATCTGAATGTCTCATGCACATCTTACACATTTTCATAAAGGTAATTCACTCCTCTTCTGGCTTAACCATTAATAAACTAACAAAGCAACTCTTGGGAGAGCTTCAATAGTAATACCACGTGGAGTGGGCAGGGGTATCAAGAAAAGATGCTCCTGTGATTCAGCCATAGCAGTGGGAGTTAAATGCTACACTTATAGGAAAAATACCAGCCAAGAGCCATTTTAGCAGGGCTTTTTGTTATACAGAAGGTGGAATAGGTGATAAAGTGAAATTATCATTAGAACTGCAATATTTCTGAGAGTGCAGCTGTTAGCTGAGTGGTCCTGCATGTGAACAAAGGATAACAGTACATGCTATACAGCAGTGGTCCCCAACCTTTTCCCAACCACGGACTGGTTGGGGTGTCTGTGGCTCGCTCGCAGGGGGGGATCAAGCATGCATGCAATGGCACACACGGGGGGGGGGGAGGAGAACGCGCGCGAAATGGCACTCACGGGGGTGCTCTTCAGGGGGTTAGGAGATCTGTGTCCACGGCGCAGTCCTGAGTAGACTGCGAACCACTGCCAGGTCGCGAACTGGGGGTTGGGGACCTCTGAAATACAGCAGTGGCTCCCAACCTTGGATAACCTAAGTATTCTTAAACTAAAACTCCCAGAAACCTTCACCACTAGCTGTGCTGGCCAGGTTTTCTGGGACTTATAGTCCAAGAACCTCTGGGGACTCAAGGTTGGGAAGCACTACTATGAAGCATACTGAAGTTCATGACCATATTTTGTCATGGTATCCATAGTAGATTGTACCTTTATTTCCAAAATTCACTTTCCCCCTTCTATACATAAGTTTAGATGAAGACCTTCCTGCAACACAAGCATCTTAGCAGTAGAAAAACTATATATCAGTTGAGAGTATGTAGCTTCCAATTGATTTATAAATGGTGTACTATGCTTCATGGTGATGCTGCTAAGGTGGTTTCCCAGTAAATATATAAACCACAGTAGGATGTAAAAGAAACAACTATCATTAAGTGATTGTTGTTTTTTTAAGCAGTCTAAATCCAATTTCTAGATTCCGAGTAGAACAGACCTGCTGAATCAAGTACATAATGGTGAGTCCCACATAAATCCCATTTATTCAGTGGCGCTACTCAGACTACCAATTGGATTAAGGCCAAAGTTACAAAATAACTGTGTACAGGAAACATATTCTTGAAACTACACTTGCTCTAAATAAGGCTTTTAAATTATTAAAGCAGGAGAGCAATAAAAGCCCATGTCCTGTGGGATGATGTCCCAGAAACCATATTATTACACTCTTTATCTAAATGCAGTCCTTTATTTGTCCCTACTTGATCACTGCTTTCTTCCCCTACTCTACTTTGACTTTTTCTTTAAACACCTTTGATAACATGTACTTTGAAAACAAACAAAGCCATTATTTCTTGGCTGTGTATTGAAATATGTCTTTACGAAACGGAGGAAAGAATAAGCTCATATTAATAATACAAATCATCAGAAATTTAAGAGGAAGTCTTTGGAGTGGGAACTATTTTAATGTGAATAAAAGTGCTTTCAATGCATGGGACATCTCATGCATTCCTCTGCAGTCCATTGTCATTAACCAGTCCATATCCTCTTCATTTGTGTGTGCCTAGAGTCTTATTTTGATCATCATGATCACTTGTCTTTTTATAATTTTCATACTGCTCTTTTCTTTAGAATGGCAGCTTTGTCTGAGTTTTTATATAGTTTAACAAGAAGTTTGTAGCGCCAGTTGTTAGAAAGGAGGGGAAGGGAAGGCAATGTATGCTATGGCCACCTTGCCCCCTTACCCCACCCCAGTGATTCACAGATGAGCAGCAGGACACTACCACCACAGCCAACAAAAGAAAAGGGTGTTCTTCCTCCTAAGGAGTCACCGAGGTGTGCTCTAGTCTCAGGGCTACCTCTGCTGGCATGCAAACCTCTATTCTGGAGTGCAGGTTCAGGAAAGTCTCCTTTGCTTCTTTTGTTCTTGATACTCATTTAATTTCTTCTGAAAATATCCTGGGGATGAAGGGGGAAATGCACTAGTCATTACACTCCTACATTTAAATGGCATCACTTACTTCCACAGTATAGCAAAAAGATATGTTTATAAAGACATGAATAAGCAGTTCAGTAAATGCAGTGAAAATGGCAGCACAGAAGAGGTCTGTAACTAGTTGGGTCCATCAGACTTAAAGGATGTAAAACGCCCCTGTTGTGACCATGCTTCATTTTCTCAACCTTCAACCTGTAGTAATTTCTCAGCAGGAAATTATCCTGTCCTCATACCAACCATCTCCACTGCCAACAAGAGTGCAGTGTACATTGTGGTTGTGCAGGAGAAACATGTGTCTGCATTTAATACATCCTAGTTCACACCTACACCATTATAGAACCTCAAAGGAAGCCATGTCATATCAGTCCATGACAGTAACACAAAAATCCAAAGTCCACAGGTAGGCAAAATATTAAAGCTAGTAATGTGTTGTAGATTTTTGCATGTACACACCTAGGACTGTGCAAGATGCTCCACTATTTGATGAGATGTCTGCTTCAGGAATATGGCCAGACTCACTTTGTTGGGGGGGGGGTAGTGAGCATGTGAGACTACCCTCTCTTAAATCAATTATTTAGGAGAGGGTAGTCTCACATGCAGCAAGCTAGGTGAATAAATAACTATATATAAACCCAAAAGGGCCATTCACTGAGACCCAAACATCAAGCAGACTTAATCCAAGCCAAGAAACGTACTCTGCCATTTGTCCGCAGGTAAGCCCAAGCTAATTCTTGCTAATAGCATAATAAAAAATCATACATGTAAGAAAAAGTGAAAAACAAAAAACTATTCATCTTGATCTTGCAGCCTCAACAATCGAGATACGTACCTTCTACACACTTCCTGCTCTGTTCAGCTTCTTGAATAAATAAGGAGAATGTCTGAGTTTTCACAAATTTTTTCACAAACTTGCGGGTGGTCTTGGAAGGAAGGGCCTTACAGAAAGACCGCTCATGGAAGTAGCCCTGCCCACTTTTATTCCATGTGATGTGGTCTGGATAGTGGCCAATAGTCTTGACAAAAAACTGCACAAAGGTGTCGGAAACATGGACATTGAGTTCCTCGGAAGCTTAAAAGAAAAGGAGACAGCACATGAATTTCATGTTTGAAGGAAATACTAACCCAAGTCTTAGAGGCTGGACCATGTTTCCTTCTCTACTGGTTTACCAACAAAACATTCAGAAGTTGCATTTTCTCATGGAGCAGTAGAAATGTTAGAGCTGCCTTTCAACACAAGATTTTATTTCACTTCACATGATGACATTAAATCATGTGCTAAATAGTGTGTATTTGTGCACACTGGCTCAAAGTGAAGATTTGGAACATATCCAGATACTAGGCTAGCACTAGCATTTTTTAAAAATCTGCTTGTATCTTTTGTTCCCTACCCTTTAATGGATCAGAAATAAGGAGACAGATACAAGGAGTTGTGGGTTGAAACTAAAACCGAAAGGTTACAATGTTCAACACACACAAACACACCCTGGAAAATTTTGTGAACAAAACAAAGTAATTCATATTTTTTATTTATTATTTGTTTAAAATATTTATTTATTGCTTTTCAGTCCAAACTGATGTACTATAAAATACATGAAACATTACTGAAAAACGGATTATAAACAAATTTGAAAGCTGCTTTTAAAAACTAGTTTTAAAGACCAAAAGGGCTATAGAATGAAATAATTGTTGGGAAGTTTCTTTTATGGTGTTCTACACACCATCAGAAGGGACGTGGTGGCGCTGCGGGCTAAACCGCAGAAGCCTGTGTTGCAGGGTCAGAAGACCAGCAGTCTTAAGATCGAATCCACGCGACAGAGTGAGTGCCTGTCGCTTTGTCCCAGCTCCCGCCAACCTAGTGGTTTGAAAGCATGCAAATGCAAGTAGATAAATAGGGACCACCTTGGTGGGAAGGTAACGGCATTCCGTGTCTAAGTCGCACTGGCCATGTGACCACGGAAGATTGTCTTTGGACAAAATGCTGGCTGTATGGCTTGGAAACGGGGATGAGCACCGCACCCTACAGTCGGACACGACTGGACAAAAATTGTCAAGGGGAACCTTTACTTTTACCTTACACACCATCAAAGGACTCTTCTTACCATAAGGGGAACCTTTACCTTTACCTTACACACCATCAGAGGACTCTTTTCTTACCAAGGAGACAGTCAATTTATTTGCATGGAAGAAGTTAATTAGCCCAGTGCATGAGACCACTTTATTAGCTCCTGTAGACTGAACTGATGTTTCAAACAGGTACACACAAGCCCCAAGGAGAAGATGTAACTCAGCCTTGCAGATTTTTCCATGCATTAATTTCTAATGTGGATTATGGAGAATAAATGTGAACAAGGACAACCTCTGATCTTACAGCACTTCTAATCAAAGAGTTTTAAAACTCGTAATAGCCACTCAATAGTCAAGAAATGTCTACAACTCGTATATACGGTAGGGAACAGTATGGTATCATGTCTTTGAGACACAAAATCTACTTTCCTGGGATTAAAATGCTAAAAAACTCCTCCAGAATGAGCTGGAAACTAAAAAAGGAAGACTTCTGTTGCTGAGAGTTTGCATGTAATATGTAATGACAGAGCTAACAATCAAATATCTCTTCATTTCCAACCTGCCCTTCTAACTTGGAAAAAGAGTGTGTTATAGCAAAGTGTATTTCTGTGCATGTTGTGGACTAAACTGGGTATGTATTGGATTGGACAAGACCTTGAAAAGTGTCATAAAGTCATATGTGAAACGGATCTGAGTAGGATGGGCAATTGAAAAACACACTTCTCACTTTTCTTAATTAAATGCAGCATTTAAAATCTAGTATTTTATTCCCATTGCTAAGATCTAAGGCAAACATCGGGGGAAACGTAGACCTATTTACCTTTTTTACTAGTTGCTTAGTAGGGCCTGAGTAGACTAGCATTTTGCCTACAAGTACAGTGTGTGGAACTCTTTCCCAGTTAATTTAGTGGACCAAGTTTCTCTACTCCACATTGTCATTTTGGTCGACATGTGTATTCATTCACCTGTTCATTGCACAATGATTAAGACTAGGTTTGCTAATCAGCTCTCTGCATCCCCACTTTGGGACAAATCCTCCAAAAAGCAGGATCAATGTAGAACAGAGAAATCTCACTAGTACCCTGTTTTCCCCAAAATAAGACCTAACCTGAAAATAAGCCCTAGTATGAATTTTCAGGATGCTCGTAATATAAGCCCTACCTCCAAAATAAGCCCCAGTTCAGTGAAACCCTGCCCTCCACCATTGTGCAGCATTGTGCAGCAACCAGAAGATGATATGACTGCCTTTGAATAAATGTAGATTGTTGTACATAAAAAAAACATCCCCTGAAAATAAGCCCTCCTCCGTCATTTGGAGCAAAAATTAATATAAGACCCTGTCTTATTTTCGGGGAAACACGGTAATATCAGCTAAATGGTTTAAGTGCCTTCACAGAGATTCCAGCCATTTACCCTTGGAAATGGAATCTCTGTTCTTACGTATCCAATAACTGTTATTTTCTGAACCCCTGCCTCAATCACTTTGGCAAATTCCTCAAATTTCCTATTTTCTGTATGCTCAGGAGGAAAGGGAGTCAGACAGAAGTCCTTGCTTACTCAGTATATTGTTGTTGTTCATCACAGGTAGAGACGTCAGCATCTCACTCTTTAACTTGGCTGGCAAGATCTCTTCTTCATCACCAACCTTCAGAGTGATGCAAAAGGGAATTATTACAAGTGACAGACACTGCAAAACAGTACATCCAGTGCAGTAGAGAAGCTGTAGCCTGAAAGAACCTTCTTCTTACAGCACCTTCTGATCTATAGGGGAAGATGGCCATCTTGTCACTTACTCTCCCAGGACACGTTCTGCATCAGTTTACAGACAGAGGAGCCATCTGGCTAAGTGATTTTTGCAGATTTCATTAACTCTCACTGAGAACAATTAGACATCCCTTGATACTAGAGAGGGAACAAAGGATGCACAGTGCAAAGAGGAAAAGAAGATCATTTCACAAGGCGATAAAAAAATTAATTAATGACAACCTAAAATAGGATTTGTAATCATGCAAATGCCTGCTGCGTGACACAGAAAGGTGAGTGGTTTGATGGAAGAAGTGAGTCTTGTAGAAGGTGAGTCTCCTGATATTTAAGTGTGGAGTGTTCCCTCTTCTGGGGTCACTGGGAGGGATAAAAGGTGGTCAGGACTATATTCTGTTTCAGGCGGAGGCGACAGGCCACTCTAGAGAAATAGGTCATCTCCAGTTGGAGGGTGATCATTTGCTTGTGAAAATCCAGGAAAGGAGGGTTGAAAGGTGACCACCAGGAATAGGAAGAGGCTAGATAGTGAAGTTAAAGCCAGTGTTGAGGTTATCCACATTGGGCGGGTCCACGGCATATGGAGGAGAAACATAGATGGAATTCACTGAGGTGATTTGAATTTATATCACGGCAAAGACCAGGATGAGGATTAACGGTACCGATGCCACTAGGGTGTATGAAATTGGGGGCGTGAGTGGGAACAGAGCATCAGTTCACAGTAAGAATGCAGCAAGTATGAGGACTGCTCTAACCCTAAGTGGCTCGATTAGGCACAATGAAGCTGACAGGAAGGCACATGCAGTTCATGGCTGGAAGAATGGCATCAAGCAGGTAAACAAGACTGAGGTCAGTGTGGAATATAAGATCAGGACCAAAGAGATCTAGAAACAAGTGAGCTAGATCAAACTAGAGAACTGTGAGCTCATTGTTAGAGAAGAAGCCAACAACCTGAATGTCCAATACCGTCTTGACACCAAAGGATTTGAAATGCTAATGCTCTGTATCTGATGCATTAGCATTAGGAGGAGTGGGTCAAATTTGAAGGTTGATCCCAGTGCCAATGAGAAGGTTGCAGTCAAAGTAGGATGCACGGTCAGAGATTTCAATGTTGATGGCCACCATACTCTGGGGCAGCTAACTGCTCTTGGGGTGAAGAAGTCAAAACTGGGAGGGGAAAAAAACCAGCGGGCAACTTGGGCCTGAGTGCCCAAACTGGGAGGGGAAAAAAAAAACAGCAGGCAGTGGAAGTGGCGGCAGAAGGGGGAATCCTGGGCATAGAGGTGCCTCAAGACAACACTCCGGATCTGCTGCCAGCGCCAGCTGCTCCGGATCCTGGCCCACCACCGCCTGTTGGGGCGCCAGCACCACAGCTGCAGCCGCCTTCTCAGGTTTGACTGCGAAGGGAGGGAAGTAGCGATCCAGCGACTTATGGCTCACGTGCCCACAGAGAGGGCTCTGCATGCCAGCTGTGGCATGTGTGCCATAGGTTTGCCATCACTGGTCAAGACTGAAGGGCAACTACATATCCTTCTTGCACTTTTTGTTTTTATGGGTTGTTGAATATGGCCCAGCTCACTTGTGGCTGGACTGGAAGGGATGGTTTTAAGAGATTTTGGCAGTGATGGCATTTCCCCATAATGTAGCCCTCTCTGAGGCAAAATGGCCACCAGCATGCAATGTTTTCCTGCTGTGCTGAGCTCAAGCAGCCATTGTGCACAGAGGTCAACATCGAAGCAGACATGAGCAAAACTGAATGAAGCTGGGATCGAGACCATGTTGGAAGACTAAAAGTGTGTGATCCAAGTGAGAAGATGGGACAGAAGCCAATCGTAAAGTTGATAATCAAGAGAGGAGTTATTCCAAGTCTGCTTACTATGCAGAAGAAATTGAAGGTAAGGCAGGAGCCCCCATGTATTATCCTGGTAAACTAGGATAGTGCAATATAATCTTTATGTGTGATGCACAAAGAGCACAATGAAGAATTCCTGAACAGGGCTGAGATATGTAGGATGCAGGAGCCAGGTGAAGTCACAATAGTGGGACTGAACTATATATACAAGAGGCCGGGAGAAAGGGGGGGGAGTATTGACCAGTACTTGAAAGGGCAAGAAAAAGCATTTTGAAAACACTACAGGGCATTCAACACCACAAAGCAGGGGTGCACAACTGTGGCCCGCCAGATTATAGGACTGCAACTTTAGTATCCCTCACCATTGGCTATGCTGACTAGGGCCGATGGGAATAGGAACAACATCTGGATGTCCACAGCTGCTACAAGGAAAGAAGCACCAGAAAGGGATGGTTAATCATGTGGTAGAAAAGGAGAACATTCATTCATTTAAATCCTGTCCTTCAGTCTTACTAAGGAATTCCCAAGCAGTTCTTGTAAACAGTATAAGGAGAAAGTAACCAGTAGTTGGGACAGAGCATAATCAAGCAGGAAGGGGTAGGGTAGGGATTAAAAGTTGAATATGAGCAGGGAATAAGAGATACTTCCACCAGTCAGAGGGCAAAGATTGAGAAAGACAGGAGGTAGAGAAATGGTTAAAGATAACCTCTTCATTCTCACTGGGCAGAAAATGAAGAAGAGTTAATAAAGCCAGATTGCTTGAATGTGCCCATTTAAGTCTCAGTTGTGCGTGTGTAAGATTTGGAGTGTACTTACCGTTCTTAAGAACTTTCCTTCACACAGGTCAACAAGCAGCACCTGAAAATATACAATATCCATCTTTATTCATCCAGCCCAGGCCTAAGCAAATTAAACAGTGTGTTTGGAACTGAAGGGAAGGAATGTTAGAATTTTTTGTCTCTCAGAAGGAAGTGAGGAAGAACCAAACGACTTGTTCACCTTATATGGAAATATCTGCAGGTTTTCCAAAAAGGTGTTCCACCTTAAGATTATGACAAGTGGTTAGCTCTAAAGTGACTTGAGTCAACACCAATTGGCAGAGTATAAACTGGTCACAAAATTAAATATATGCTATTTTTAAAAGACAAATGAACAGCTGATCTAGAACATCTGCATTGAAACACCCCCATCCATCATTTTTAAGGTAGACATCATGAAGCGCTGACTGAATGACATCACTTACACTGACTTCATAAGAGACAAATATTTATGCCAAAGTACTCAGATAACATGAAGGTGATTACAAAATGCAATTGTGATGATGATTAGCACCCTCCTTAGCAGGAAGACATAAGGAGTCATTAGAAGAATGCATTCTAGGTGCTGGTTTTCAATACAATGCAGTTTTATTAGGGGCAGAGTCCTTTGCTCTCCACTTCTGGCAGGAGAATATCTTTGTTCAGCCCTGTAAATCTTCCCCCTTGTGTTTAGCATGGGAACTTGTTAAACACAATACCTCTTCCATGGGCTGATCCAGAACCTCAGGAAGGTAGCGCTTTTGGATCCCCACCATGAAGGGTGTGGGACAGCAGACGGTGCTAAGAAGCTTCTCTGGAACCACCGGGATGTACGTATGAGCCCAGGTAAAGGGATAAAGAAGAGCTGCAGCAGCATGAATGCACTTGGAGAGAGAACTGAAAGGGTGTCAAAATGCTGATTAGGATATAGAAAGATACGGTACAAAATCCGCTTTGTCACAAGCAGCCTGCAAGCCCATCCCAAAATTTGGGGTTGATGTGAGCTGCCCCCTGCCCTTTGTATCTTTGTTAATTTTATTATTTAAATGATATCACCAGGCCAATATTGAAGGCTTCAGACATTTGGCGTATTATGATCTTAAAAATATAAAACTGAAATTCAGTTAAGCAGTCAAAAGTGTAAGCACAACTACAATGCCTGTTCTCATACAAAGGTTGAGGAAGGTTTCAAGAACTAACTCTCCCAAAACTCAACTCTGGCTTTGCTATAAATGGCAGAGGAGAATGAGGAGGCCAAAGCCAGTAATTCCATGGCTTCTCACTCCCAGCCTGCCTTGGGACCATCCCCCACCCTCCCTTCCCATCTGCTTTACAAGGCCGGAGTCCAGACTGAGTTGATCCCGCGGGCAAACAACCAGAGTCTGCTCCATTCATGTTTGCTATTGCTGCCTCCTGTATAGAGATGCAGAAGAATTTTCTGGATAGAATTGAGGGAACTCAAAAAGGGATGCAAAGGGAGATCTAAGAATGTAAAAAAGCTATAGAAAATGCCCCCAAGTAAGTGTGCAACTATATTACAAAGCAACTATATTACAACTATATTATACCATCAACAGTCCCACAACCTGCCTCTATCTCATTTTTCATTACTTGTTACACGCACTACAGCTTTCACTCCCCACATTTATTTCATAGTTTTCAATGAGACTTTACTCAGGTGAGGCCAAGTTTTACCTGAGCTCCTCAGCCAAAAAGACTATCCGGCGTTCAAGAGCTACTGAAGCAAATATGAGGAGGATCTTCTCAGGACTGAGGCGCTGAAAGAGGGCTTGAAATTCCACATGTTCCAGGTGAGAGTCCAAGGGACGGGTTAGTTCAATTTGCTGTTAGGGAAACAACCAAGACATAGAATCATGATGGCATTAATGTATGCAGGGATGGATGGGCATTTCTTGTTTCCTAGGCTTAGCAAATATATTCTTTCTGTCAGCTTTTCCTGGGCATTAGGATGCATGGATCAAGGAGAACCATTACGATTAGCTACAATTACTTCCTTAGAATTTCCTCCAGTAGCTCTTTTAACCTAGTAGCCCCACAAAGAAGATGGAATTGGGTACCACTGGCTTCCACTCTAAACCTGTGGAATTTTTGTAGTTCTGGGGGTGGAGGGAGGAAGCAGTGAGACACTTCCAATCAGCCTGGCTGTTGAAACCATCAAAGGGTGCTTTATTTTGTTTTGTTTTATTCTATAAACTGCAGGATAGCTCAGTGGTTTAAGTACTGGGCTGTGGAGCCAGAGATTGGAAATTTGATTCCTCCTGGGGCCTCCCTGATAGGGGCAGGGTCTGATAACCCATAGGGTCCCTTCCAGCTGTGCAATTCTAAGACATACTACAGTTCTAAGATGCAAACATACATATGTACATACATGCACATATGATGATGATGATGATGATGATGATGATGATGGTGTGTGTGTGTGTGTGTGTGTGTGTGTGTGTGTGTGTGTGCGCGTGCACACGTATCTTTACGTATCTTTCTCCACACAGCGAAATCAAGAGAAGTCTGGTGGAAGGAGATACTGCTATTCCCATTTAAGGGTAATGAAGAGACACTGACACTTTTGAGGAAAACGCACTCAGCACCCTCTATCTAACTCCTCCAGCTGCTTGTAGCATTGAGCAAGCCAGGAAATCATACCAAGACTTCATTCTCTGGCAGCTGAAAAACAGAAAAATTGGACAGCGTAACAGTTGGCTAAAGGTCACTGGCAAGCCAGCATAGAAGAAGGACCAGACAAGCAAGCCAAGCTGCTCTCTGTGACCTGTTGGCCACTTACTGAGAAATGTTTCTAAGCAACAGGACATCCCTCCAGGGAAGAAATCTGCTGCAGGCTAGAAGAACCATGAGCAGTAAGAGGGCAGGTCTCTTGTACCTTTCGTGGAACACAGAAGAGGGAAGTTTGTCAAATGCTGACTGCCATGTCATGCTTCTGTGGAAAAGCTCCATGTGCTTCAGTTCACTCTTCTTTGCGACTATTAAACTCACTGGAACATCTACTGTATCTTCTCCCCCTTACATGGGAGCAAATCATATTCCCATTTCTAAAGGGGAATTTCTAACTCTGCATTATGATGCAACAATTTCTTAACAATCCATTTCTAAATCTGCACTATGATGCAATAAGGCACCCGCTAATAAATCCCCTTCCGTTCTAATAAGGTGACGAGATATACTTTATCAAAGCTGGGAAGTACAGCTTTCACACAATCTGCAATCCGCAAACTGTGTTTGAGTTATAAATGTACAACAGGCAAACTATGATTCAGAAGTTCTTGTCCAGGTTTCCCATTCCTAGGCACCTGTTCAGTACTCAACTTTGTACATTCTCTTCTACATTCAGACTGCAGCAGCTTCTTGGGGTAAAACAACTGTGGATTGTCACTGGTCTGTGAATCAATGTAATCCCAAACCACACTTGGCTTCTGTAGTTAGTAAAACAACTTCAAAGAACAGTTTCGGTTCCAGGTTTTCCTGCCCGCCCCAATCCACACTTTATACATACAGTAGGACTGTGTTCCAAGGCAAAAAATGAAAGGACCAGATTGCAGGCTGCCTCAAACCAATACCTGAGGAGGACACTGCCCCTGCCCTGGTCACTGCCCTAAAACTGTTCTGAACCCATCCACAGAGTGTTTTGTGGGGGCATCAGCTCCTGCCTTCTTATACTCCCACCAGGACCACTAGCACTGCTGACCTGTTTAGTAGCTGTGACAGAACCACAAGATATTCTTATCAAAAGATACAAACCTCTGTCCCAGAATCAGGAATGAAACTTTTAATGGTAACTGTTTTTCCTGGTGCTGGAAAGGGGGATTCACGTAGGCCCTGCATAAAAGGGTAGATGACTGCCGTAGAGATTTGCCGCCTTTTCTCCACTTCATCCAAAATCTAAGAGAGAAAAAGAGGGACACTCGTCACTTGGCAGCAGCTCTGAGTCTTACCCCTTACTCTGAGGGGCAAGTTATTTTTGGGGGGGACTACAACCCCCCCGCAAATCTCCAAACCATGGTATAAGCAAAACAAAACAAAAAAGCCACGTTGGGATGGGCGAGACCTTGATTTGCTTCTCTACCCTAAATTTAATGGTATTATTTTCCTCTCGTTACCTGCTTTACCTCCAAGAGGCATTTCTTTCTCATAACCCACTCACTAATGTTCCATTCCAGGATTAAGATTTCCAAGAAACAAATGAGCCTCTTACACCTGCACATGGCCTTTTTCACTCTTCCTTTCATGTAAGGCCAAAACAAGTCAGGGAAGCCACAGCTAACCATAAGATTCCCTTTACATTTTGAGGAGGACTCATGGTTTTACATGGGCTTCTGCATGATAGCTTGTTTAGAAGCTATCAACCACAATTTCTGCAACAAGAATCTATGGCTAACTATAGCTTCCTGGCTTATTTTTGCTTATGCAAGAGGATGAACAAAGTGGCTACAAGGGGAAGGGTATCAAGTTCATTGGTTTGTTAAGCAGAGTCTTGACCTGTATAAACTGGATCACTATTCCCCATATTCAAGTTACTATACTACATTGATTCTTCCTGTTAATAATGATGTGCCCTCTGTACGCGACGGTTGCTCACTCTGTTGCGTGGATTCGATCTTACGACTGCTTGGTCTTCTGACCCTGCAGCACAGGCTTCTGCGGTTTAGCCCGCAGCACCACCACGTCCCCTTGACTGTATAAACTGGGCCACTATTCCCCATATTCAAGTTACTATACTACATTGATTCTTCCTGTTAATAATGATGTGCCCTCTGTACATAAGCTAACATACATTCCCACTTATTTATTTACATCCTGCCTTTCTCCCAGTGAAGGAACTTAAGGCAGCTTTCTCTTTCATTCTCTCCTTCCTCTTCCTACCCAAGTGAAAGATCAGAAGACATACAGTAATTTGAACTACTTAATCCTGAGACAAGATAAACAATTGTTAGCCAAATGTATTGCTGTCTATGCTCGAGAGCAGTGTGTATTGTTGTGGGGGTAGGAAGAGGGACAACCCAGAACTCCTACCTTTGAAAATAGGCCAAAGCAACCCACGCAGCTCACAATGCAGTAAACCTCTGGAAGACGAGCCCCTCGGCCAGATGGCTGTAAAATGATTTTTCACATAAAAACTTTAATCACATCTACATTTCATTTCCTATATATTACTTGTTCTATATTTTAAATTGTTTATTTTATATGTTGTTAGCCGCCCAGAATGGTCAGTTGAGTAAATGAGTGGGGTACAAATTCAATATATAAATAAATATCTATGTCCCCATATTGTGCCAATATATAAAAATTCCTATAAATAAGTAGGAGGAGTTGAGTTAAACCATATGTACTACATTTCATTTCCTATATATTACTTGTTCTATATTTTAAATTGTTTATTTTATATGTTGTTAGCCGCCCAGAATGGTCAGTTGAGTAAATGAGTGGGGTACAAATTCAATATATAAATAAATATCTATGTCCCCATATTGTGCCAATATATAAAAATTCCTATAAATAAGTAGGAGGAGTTGAGTTAAACCATATGTAAAGTTACCCTATTGTGCCAATATATAAAAATTCCTATAAGTAAGTAGGAGGAGTTGAGTTAAGCCATATGTAAAGTTACCCTATTTCCCTGAAAATAAGACCTAACCTGAAAATAAGCCCTAGTATGTTTTTTTCAGGATGCTCGTAATATAAGCCCTACCCCCAAAATAAGCCCCAGTTAAATGAAACCCTGCCCTCCACCATTGTGCAGCAACCAGAAGAAGACATGACTGTAAAATAAAACATCCCCTGAAAATAAGCCCTAATGCTTTTTTTGTATGTGGTTGTGGATTTTTTTGAGCAAAAATTAATATAAGACCCTGTCTTATTTTCGGGGAACCACAGTATGTCTCCTAACTGGACTTTCCAGAGCCAAAAAACAAAAATACAAAGCCATTTGGAAACATTGTTGCTAAGGATTGGGGATGGATGAAGGTATCTTTTTTTCCATAGCTGGATCTCCATGGGGACACTTTTGCTCATCTAGGACAGTCATTCTCAAACCCACCACCAGGATTGGGGATGGATGAAGGTATCTTTTTTCCATAGCTGGATCTCCACGGGGACACTTTTGGTCATCTAGGACAGTCATTCTCAAACCCACTACCACCTTTCCTTTCCTTTCCTTTCCTTTCCTTTCCTTTCCTTTCCTTTCCTTTCCTTTCCTTTCCTTTCCTTTCCTTTCCTTTCCTTTCCTTTCCTTTCTTTCTTTGCCACAGCCATAAACACAATATGAAAGAAATACAGGCCGAATCACGATTGTATAAGTCACATGAGGAACCTTATAAGGTGGTGTGTGAAGAATTGTTTCCAATCTGTAGCCCCCTTCAAATGTGCCAGCACCCCCCAGGGGGCTATATGGCCCCCACTGAGAATGGCTGATCTAGGATGATAAGGCCACACAGAAATAGAACTCAGATCCCCAAACAGATGCCCTGAGCACTCAAGGGCCCAACTCATTCCTTCTGAAATCAATAGTCACTTAGCCCATTGAACACCCAACAAGGAAATTCCAGCCTAAGAGGAAATTCTAGATGACCCAGTTTTGAGGAAGACTCCCACAGTGTGCAAACTGGATTTAGCAGGAGGAAGAAATACAGTCTCTTTACACCTACCTATGGTGAGCAAAGAAAAGACTCCTGTTTTTCTCAAGCTAGCTAAACCCAGCACAGTCTATTTCTAAATATAGTTGATGTCTTCATAAGTTACAGTGCGCATTTCTTCCAAGGAACATGCTCATAACAAACAAACAAAAAAGCCTCCAGCGACTCGAATCAAGATTTTATGACATGAGAATTTATTAGATACAGAAGAAGCCAGATGATGGACAAGCTGCTAAGCTCTCTGTCATCACCCAACAGAAATCTAAACTATGCAAGGAGAGTCCATTAAATGTTTCTGCACAGACTTGGCTGAAGTATATATAAGAACATGGGAGAGTTAAGTTTCCTTTTTGAGCTTCAACAACTTAGGCTGCAGTCTTGAATGTACTTATTAGGGAGTAATTTTCATGAACATCAGTCTGAGTAAACATACCCAAGCTTCTGCTCCTAAGTGAGATCTTTATATCCCTTCATGCAGCATGAATATGATACTATAGTTACTTTGATAAACCACACAACAGAAGGGAAACAGGCCTAAGAAAACCCAGTCACTCCTATATGGTACCATTCAGAGAGACCTTGCTTCCTAGCCTTCCAGATTTACATAAACAACACATTAAGTGAAAACATAGTAACAGAGGGATTTTTTAAAAAAGCTGATTTGAATGTTGGTGTTGAGCGGAGAAGTTAATGACTAGTGCTTTCCCCACTTGCCATCTCTGCATTCAAATCACCCACCCCAACAACTCCATCCCTATATTGCTCTTCAAGGACCTCAATGCACAACCAAGATGCGCCCCAGCATCTTCTCAATTAGCCACAATTAGCTGCAGCACATTATGCATACCTCATGTGAACACCAATATGTTTCCAGCAAGCTATAACAAATACTGATTCCCCAGCCTATAAATCTTTTTCACACTGACTTGCTAAGTGCAGAAAATAAATCAGCTGGCTGCTAATTCCCTCCGCATGACAAAATGCATTACTGGTCAAAAACTGCCCTTGTATTGCATGGCACATAGAATGGAAAGTATGTTTCCTTGCCCCTTCTCAACTACACCTTCTCCACCAAAAAAAGGTTAGAAAAACAGCAAACCGTAACTACAATCTGCGTATGTTCAAGATACAAATCACTTCTCCTTGACCTAAGGAACAAACAGCCCAGGCCAAAAACTGTATTTGGAGTAGGCAACAGTGCAAGAACAGGCAAACCTCTGACACCCATCAATAAAATACATGTACGATAAAACACTACAGGATAGGTTAGAAGACTACTGGATTAGCAAGTAAAAGGCCCTATTTTTCATAGGAAACAGGAAGAACGATCAAAGACAAAACTTCTACCATCAGCAGCAAGTTTCCCAAATCTAGTGCCCTCCAGGTGACCAAGGCCAGCTGGGGATAATGGGAGATGTAATCCAACATATCTGAAGTATACCAGGGTAGGGAAGGCTGACTGGCAGAATAAATATATCCACAGACAGGAGGGTATTAGAGCAGTGGTTCCCAACCTTGGGTCCCCAGATGTTCTTGAACTATAGCTCCAATAAATCCTAGCAAGCACAATTGGTAATGAAGGCTTCTGAGGGTTTTAGTCGAAGAACTTCTGGGAACCCAAGGCTGGGAACCACTGTACTGGAGTATTCAGAATACAGTCAAGGAAAGGACAAAGTGCAGAGTTATCTACTGAGAGAAATTAAACCACATATATTCTGGCATACTACCTCAAATTTAAGGAAGCATTCAAAACATACTTCCTCAAAAAGAGGTCACAAAGTTGAAGTGAAAACACAATGAGGATAAATCTCGTCCTGTACCAGCAGAAGAGCAAGGGGCAACAGACAATGCTTTGCATTAATCTGTCAAAGTGACCCATATGCTTACTAGGCTCAAGTTTCAAGCTGGAGGTACTGTAATTACAAAGAACTCTTTAAACAGTAGCCAAGGAACACTACCTTCTGGCTATGCTCCTAGCTGTTCTTAAGTAGTTGAGCACAAATATGCCAGCATACATGGCTTTTCCCTTGTGTGACTGGGTGCTTCACAACTTTCAAAAATCTTTACCATTTCTAATAATCAGAACTACATGTTTACATAATAGATGAGGACCTCTTCCTGCTTCTTGATAGCTCAGCCATGAAGCCTGACATCTCTAACCAGAGGTGCCGTAGCTCAGGGCTCCACACCAAGCTAATCAGATTTTCTTCCTCAATTCTTTTTCTAGAGGAAAAGCAACTCAGTGCTACTAGGAAGACAAAGCTGTGAGATACCAGGAAAAAATGATTTACAGGGGTAAATCATTGAGGGAAATAGTCCTCTCTACTCCCCTCAAAGTATCTCTTTGGTGTCCAAAGAAACCAACATCTAAGAAAACATACGGGTCAGCATCTATGGTGGCTTCAAGATGGCTGAGGAATTGTCAGTACTATTGTCGGTACTCCTACTGACTAATATTTTTCCATAACGAATGTTTATACCTACTAACAAGAACACCAAGCTATGTATGGAAATCATTTGCTATTTCTTCTGGGACCTTAAATCTCATACTGACGTACAAGTACCACTAAAACTAGGATCTCATGAATAAATCTGATTTTACCTTTTTTATGAAAAGGCTATGCTTGTTTCCAGATGAGGATTGCATTATTATTGTCCTGCCATTAACATAGAGGGGATGGGACTCTGTATTCTTCCACTGTAACCCACCTGTTTTCCCAGTTTCTTCTCCCCTCATCCCAATCACAGACAATCCATTAATGAGAAGAAAATGTTAAGTACCACAGTTTGCCTTTTGGTTGGAAACCACAGGAGTTCTCCATTCAGAAGCATCCTGTATGAAGATGGTTCATATTTTCTCCCTGTTCTACCCATGCCATAGCTTGAAGCACTACTCAGATCTTCAGAATGCATGGCATGCCTTTCTAACGGCCTATGGCTGCCCAACAACTACTGGGGTTCAACAGGAGATTCCAAGTTGCCAACATCCAAGGAGAGGGTGTCAATCTTTTTCTTGTATTTCGTGCTTTTAAAGGAACCAGTGGGTCACCCAGAGCCATAGCTAAGTAGAAAAATCTTCCAGAGTAGAAAAAAAAAAAAGGAAACATGGTTACTGCTGCAAGAAACAACAAAATAAACAAAATTCAGGACCAATTCCACCTCAATCCACCCACCACTCACTTTTACAAATCTCACCTGATTTACTCTGTGCCTCCATAAAATCTTGCTGTTCACTGTTCATTCACAAACGCTGGAGCAGCTAAGACCACACTGTTCCAGCCACTCTTCCAGAATTAGTACACGAACAGAAATTCAACCAATACAAACAAGGACAAGAAGGCTTTTCACTGTGGAGGTATGGTTTCTGTAAATATCTGAAGACTGAGCAGAGCCAACGAGGATACCAAAAAACCAACATCTGAGGAAGTCACTCATCTTTCTGACAGAGCAGTTCAAATG